TTCTGCAAAACATAAAATCTATTAATTTTTAAAACTTAAAAAAAAGAATGAAAATTTGGAATCTTATTTTGTATGCAACACTTGGCTCTCCTGACAATCACAAGAACGATTTCTACATTACAGTTCAGCAACCTTCATAAAGCAAAATCTCATTAGCCCAAACCTGGATCCCAATTTTCTACATCAAGTTTGTCCAGTCAAATTCATATTATACATCACAGATCCTGAACTAATAACTGTCTAAAGCAATGAATGCTCCTAAGTGTCCATAAGCTGGTTGGTCTTATTAATCACTAAAACCTGCCAGTGCCTGGCAGACAGGAGGCACCTAATAATTACTTGCTGTAGGATGAATAAATGAATTTAAAAGAACAAAATTATGACACAGTCCACTAGCGTGGTATAAAACTCATAGTGGATAACAAGTACACCCTGTGATTTTTAAAAAATTGGCACCATTTCAAAGAAAAAAATCAGCAAGAAACGATCTTAGATGCAAGAGTTTGCTGAGATTTTTATTGTCTCATGCCTTCCAAATTCATAAGTATTCAAAATTAAAAAAGAAAAACTGCAAAAAATAAATCCCACTAGACATTTGTCCTCGTTTTTAATCCATCTCCCATCTCGATTTATTTTGGCTGCCCACACCATTAAGATCCTAGAGATAATCTTGCATTACACTAAAGTTTGGTGGATTGGCTACCTATGAAGTAAACCCTGAGGCATCCCCACCTACCATCTGGTGCTTTCTAGCTTCTTGTACATTAGCTTCTCTACCCCGAAAAAGAGGGGATAAAATTCATGAGGGAGAGAGATGAGAAAATTAAGGCCAAATGAAGTTAAAAGACTCTTCTGGAGTCAAAAATCCAGGAACTTCACTGTGTGTTCTTCTCCCCACATTACACATATGAAGTTCTACTCATCACACAGCCTCTCCCCTCTCACTCACACTGCAGGAGGCTAAGCAGCATTAACCTCTGAGCAGCAGGTCCAAAGCGCTTCTTAAAGATTTCTTAGTGATCTCACCAAGATCACCTGTAGCACAGTGGTTACAGTGCCAGCCACATCCACCGAGGCTGGTGGGTTCAAAATCGGCCTGGGCCAGCTAAACAACAATGACAACTGCAACAAAAAATAGTCAGGTATTGTGGCAGGCACCTGTAGTCCCAGCTACTTGGGAGGCTGAGGCAAGAGAATCACTTAAGCCCAAGAGTTGGAGGTTGCTGTGATGCTACAGTACTCTATACCAAGGGTGACATAGTAAGACTCTGTCTCAAAAAAAAAAAAAAAAACACAAAAACAAAAAAACATAAGCCACAAGCAGATCAAATAAGTGGCTCCATTCCAGGCAATGCCCAATCTTCAGGAGAAGCCCAGCTGAAGCCAGGAGCTACGGAGTAAATCTAAGCCCCTGTTTAGAACTTCTCTGCCTTTCATTGCCTTCCCAGGCCTTTGTAATTCTTGAGTTGACTCAAAACTGACCTTCTTCAGCTCGTAAAAGCCAAAGTCAGATTCTAGTTAATAATCATATAATTTGCCAAATGCCAGGATCCTCCTTTGCTTGAAGAATTACAAAATTAGGAGACATCAATAGCTTTATGCAAAACAGTAAGGATAGAAATCAAAACTTAATGTAGACTCAACCTTAATGACTTAAATGTATACAGAGACAATTAAATGGCCTATTGCTTTAGCCATTAGGTAACTGGTATTCCAGTGAATATCCCTAAACTGGTATCTGGAGATCTCATTTCCTTTATTAGGCTATGTTATTAAAAATTCTTAAGCACAGTGCACATTAACACTTGTTGAATAATATTAGTAAAATGGAATAGAATTGAATTGCCTAAAGCAACATGCTTGGAGATGTATCAGCAGAGGCACTGAACCCCGTTCACATTAGAACCACCTGGGGGACACTTCAAAGTAGTGACTCCCAAATCCCCATCCTTAGATATTCTGATTCATTGGTCTGGAAATCCCTAAAGTCTACCTTTACTTCCTAATTAACTGGGAAGCAGTCCTCCTTATGAACGGTTGCTGAATTCAAAGAAGCTCTGGAATGCCTACAGATGTTGGGCACATTTCTGGACTGAGCAGTCACTGTTCATACTTTGACAGCTTCCTACAGGGAAAAGGTATAAAGAATCTAGTGTGTCTGTGCTGCGGACAGGTCACCGTTTCTGTGAGCTGGTGGGACACTGTCAGCATGTCTGTGGGTCTGTTTTTAGACAGGTGTTTGCTTTCTGGATGCCTGTGAGACGGGTGTGCATCTCGAGGTGCCTGGCAAGCACGTGAAGTGCCCGAGAGGATCTTGTAAGGGAACTCGAGAAGGATGTCTGAGGGCTAGTGGTAACTTAAAGTAGTATGACATTAACATAATGGGGGATGGCCACTCTCGTTTTTTAGTGCATCTTTTAAAAATACAAATACATGGAAAGGTTTGAACTCAACTCATTACATGGGACAGAGAATTCATTGGACTCTGGAAGAAGGGGAGAAGACAGTGAGTTCACAGAGAGGGGAAGGGGAATGGGGAGGTGGGGAGGCTCCAAGGGCCACCATTCCCACTCTGCGTGTGGACACGGACACAGCTAAGGAGGCACTCTGGAAATGCCTTATCCACCTCCCTTAGCTTTGGGGTTTATAAAGCAAATAGGTCGTAGCCAGGAAGGAGGGGCATCTCCCCACTGCAAGTTGGCCCTTGCCCCCACACCGGGGTAGCAGCACACCTCCTGACACCGACACAGACTGGGGAAGGTCAGTAAAAGATGAGAGGAGAGATGTCCACCAACAACAAGAAGGGCATCAAGGATCTGTCCTCAGCTAGATATGAAATCCTCAGATGTCAGGCTCCTTAGAGAAGAAACCAGTGGACTGGTCTTGACTATACGCAGGGAGGTGCTTAAACCAGCACAGTGTCCTTCAGACTCCGCGGCTTGGGGTGAGGAATCGTGGACAAAGCAGCCCACCAGAGGAAGTTTCAGATAGAACACGTGGGAGTATTCCCCAGGAGGAGGGACTGTTTCCAAGCAAAGGAAATGGGATCTAAAACTGAGGCCCCCGCATCAGAGTTTCACACACAGCCAAACCCCGGAGCCCTCCGCTGGCCGGCCCCAGCACCAACGGCCAGACCCAGCATGGCAGACGCTGTCGCGTGACCTCGTGGTGTTTAGCCACCATATCTGTTGTAAGAGGTGACACCGTTAAGCCTTGCATAGCTTTCAGAACACATTCAGGTGCAGTGTCACTTGCAACAATAATACCGAAAAGCATTGCTATTACTCCCAGTTCATAAACACAGAAGACAAGGCGCAGAAAGGTAAAGCGACTTTGCTGAGCAGTAAAAGAACTTATCCAGGTCTTCTGACCCCAAACCCCAGGCTCTTTGCATAACAAAAGTAAAGAAATTAGCCTGTATCTGGTATTCAGATAAATGCTCATCCCAGCACAGAAGTGGCCTCCAAGGGAGAATCCACACTGCTCCCCTAAACCCACACCTTCACCTCCCGGTCACCGAGTGAAATGCAGACTTTGACTCCAAAAGTAATCAAGTGCACCTGGAACAGGGTCCTGGGGTGGGTGTGGGGGATCATCCAATAGTGATTCTGAGCATAGGTCTTAGAGTCAGACTACCATGTGTTTCTAATGTATCAGTTGCATTTTCTATACAATTCATTTCCCTTTTCTAAGCCTCAGTATTCCCACCTATCCAGGGATAGAAATAGAGCTTTACAGAGCTGTGAGAATCTAATCCAATCACACGTGTAACGCTCTGAGCAGGATGCCCGGTGCACAGTGAGTATTCAAATGTCACTCCCTTTTTACACACACATCCCCAAATATAACCACAGATACCATTAGCTGACGAGCCACCATTTCGCTCTTCTGTCCTGCACACCAATGTCCCGAGGTAACTTGTTAACTAAACTGTCCCTATTGTCTCAGCCAGAATAACTTTTAAATGGAACGTGGAAGGAGAGGTATGGGGTGGAAAAAACACTGGATCAGCCACGGAGAGAACCTTGATCGCATTCTTGGTCCTGCTACCGCTGTGCGGTGAGACCCTGAACGCGTTCGTCCCCTTACTGTCATTTTTGACATCTGTGAGAGGCGGGGGTCGGATGGCCGTCCCAGGCCTGCTCCGGACTCTAACCCGGTTTCCTCTGCAGAAAGGATGCAGAAGGCAAAATGGTGCTGGGCGGCCACTGGCTTGAGCAGCAAGAGCGCTCGCCTCAAATGGCTGCTGGCCTGGGAGTTTCAGCCGCTCGGAAAAACTTCTCTTTCTCTTTGGATGAGACTTTTGAACCTAGGCCAGGTTCCCAACTGAAAACCGAGGTCCCAACTGAAAACTGGTATCAAGTCATTTGGTAACAAAGGAGAAGGCACCGGAGCCCGCAAAGAGACGAGTCTAGGAAACTGTGTTTCATCGTCACCAACTGAAAAACCCTCCAGATACCCGGCCCCGCGCCCAGACACCCCAAACCCCGGGGCCACCCCTCGTCCAGAGGCACCCTGCTCCCAATTAAATCAGCAACTGCCCTGAAAAGCGGAAAGTGCTTCGTCTACCTTGTCTCCAAAACTCAGCACCCTTAACCACCGCTGAGAAATGCCCCAAACCTTAGCTCCCCTGCTCCCGTGTCTCCATCCTGAGACTAGCTCTGCGATCGGCCCGTCTTGCCTGCCAACAATTTCAACTCTGCTAACTGTTTATTGTATCTGGCTGCTGCTGTGGACTCATTTACTTTGTTTCATCCTTCTTTGGTTATCAGTGCTCTGAGTTCTTCCCTCCATAACGTAAATCCAGACTGCCCCCCAAATGTGGGATCTGATTTCTTGAGTCTGAGGTACCCAGTTCCCTTCCCTCCCTTCCCTGAGTTGAAACCCCCTTCTGTCTCCTGAAAACTTCTTCTCAGACACTAAAGAAGTCCATTCCAAGCTTTCGTTTTCGAAACAGAAAAAAAGAAAAAAATGAAAGAAAAAAGACCCACATAACTTACTTTCATCCAGGGGTGCACAGTTTGGGAAAGAAGCAAACAGAGCTATAATCCACTGCGTTCCCCAACCCAAAAAGAAGAATTTGTAGTGAAACGCTTCTTTTTCCACTTTGCCGGGGAAGGAGTCCGGTGGTAGGCAGTACATCCACAGGCTGATGCAAGACGCCTTTGAGAGAAACCTCACATTCTGAGGATTCCTGGGAGAGGGCCAGGGATCCCAGCATCCAATATATTGCACATTTGGTTTCAATTAGGAAGGGGGTTGGGGAGGGAAGAAGGAAAGTCACCAATCAGAGCTGTTTTCTGTTTAGAGACTATTTCTTTTGACCCAAGAGACCACGGGCAAAGCTATAATTTACAGCAAAACCCATTCATAGAAGAAAAAAAAAATATGTATAACCATAGGACAGACTTAAAGACATAGCTCCCTTCCGCCTTATCCCCAGCAGCATTCACCCCTACGCATCACCACCCCCATCTGGGACTCGGTCCCCATCTCGTGACTCCCCCCACCTCATTTTTCTTACTTGGCTGCAGCTAAAGACACAACTTAAAGTTTGCAGTTTCTTCCAATTTGAAGCTTCCAGGACAGTTGGGTCACACACATGGAGTTGATCTTCAGTATTTTAGCCATGAAAGCCCAGAGCTGAGCCCTCCCCCAAAAGATTTTATTTAATCCCTTCCCCTGCCAAAAAAAAAGGACAGTTCCAGCATCCAGGATTGCTGTTTTCTTTCCCACTCAACTCTCAGTTGGCTGCTGCCTCTGAGGATTCATGCTGCTAAACGAAAACGCAAGTATTTACAAGGACTTTCTAAATTATTTTGTAAACTTTTTTCCTTTTTTTTTTCCTCCTCCTTCCCGTAGCTATGGCCAGAGATCACGTGTAAGGGGCATGCAGGGGACAGGGGAGGAAGCCTTGCTGGGCTCTCCAAATGATAACTGATAATCCTCTCTGTCCATCAGGGCTCCTCCAGCCTTAACCCTTCAGAGCCGGGGTCATTCCTGACCAAGCACAGGCTGGGCTGCTCCGGAGATCCTGATTCACTATGGCTATGGAGGACACAGGCAGTCAGGGCCTCAGGGGCGGGAGATCCATGAGCAAGGTAGATGGCAAACAGGAGGGCAGGAAGACTTGGCCTGCCTTCTCCTAAGGAGACCTGTTTCCTCTGGCTTTTGAGCTGTCATCCACTCTTCTCTGCTTGTGGTTAATCTGGGATTGCACAGCCTCCAAGATGAGCAAAGGAGGTGAGCAAACAGGAAAGGGAAGCTGGAAAGGGATCGTGGAGGGACATTCCCAGAGCGAGTTTGGAACAGGAGAAGCTTTGTAAGGGACAGAGAAATCCCTAACTGGGGTGCCCATAAAATGAAGAGGCAAACTGTTAGTGTTAAGTCCCTAAAAGGCTCGTAAGCTCAGCACCAGCTGGAGAGCCAGAAAGCAGCCTTTAGTATTTGTGCTTCACACACAACAGGGGGACATGGAGAACATGGGCACTCTTCAGAGAGCAGCCACAGAGATGATTAAAGGCCGCAAACAAAACCTAAGAGAGAAAACTAGAACAAGGATTATTTCACAAAGAGAAAGGAGAAGACAATGATAAACCTATTAAGAAGACTCATCAAATAACTTACAGATTGAAGTCAGGTCTGAGGGTGACTGCACCCAGGACACTTAGCTCAACTCAATAAAAATGTGCCGGGCAGTTGTTAGATGCTTTAACTGGGAGCTTGCTGGAGACAATGGCAGGCATCTGGGCGTAGAAATACCCTCAAGCATCTAGGCCTATAGTGGTTTACCTCTTTGGCATTCCTATGAAGAATATACCAAAAGTATGATTTGTAATTTCACAGATTTGGTGAGGCTGCCGGTCAAATGTGGAAAATGGTGTAATAGCTTCATAAAGCCAGAGCCTAAATAAAAGACAGGTGGGCACAAGTGCAGGTGCATGTCCTATTCTTTATTACTAAAAGTGGCTCCGTGCCCTACGCAGGATTGTTTGTTTATCTGGATACGTATCTAGGATTCCGGCTTAAGCCAGTGATATGGACTCTAACATCTGAACACACCTGAGTTTGTCTGATGAAGAATGGGCACCCAAGTCACGAGTCTGTACACAGACCAAGGAGCCTTCAGGGGAAGAACTTGCTAAGTGGAGGGAGAACTGAGGGTGAAAGACAGTTCTAAGTATAACCTGAGCTGTGTCAAAGGTAACGAGTAGCTCAAAAAAATCTATACATCATGTTTATCACTCAAAATAGTATGTCCGTCACTCAAAATACCATCTCTATCACTCAGGCTATTCTTGGTCAAAGCCAGGGTCTAGAACTCTGGGAAGAAGGTCCTGCCAAGAAATGAGCAAGAAAAAGCAGGGAATGATATTTTACTAAGATATTTGAGAGATATCCAAAGCATTGGGAAGAAACATCAGATTGAGCTTCAGTTTTCCGAGACAGTTCTGGCTGGGTGGGGAGGGGTATGTTTCTTCTGCCTTGATGGCAGCCATTGCTGTAGGAAGCCAGAGATAGAAAGAAAATGCCAAATGCTACTTCAAAGCAGAAAGGACTAATTCATAGAACACAGAAAGAACTTCCTGGGGACTCTCAGAACTATTTGTTAGAGTTTTGAGCAAAGCTGGAATTCCCCGCATTGTGGGGAATGTAGAGAAATACCATTACTCTTTTGTAAACAGATTCTACACCCTGGCTGGTTTAGCTTGAAAAACATGAGTCTTTACAGTCAGAATTATTTATGTTCCATAGGAGGTAATACATCCTTGCTATGAGGACTGTTTTTTTTTTTTTTTTTGAGACAGAGCCTCAAGCTGTCCCCCTAGGTAGAGTGCCATGGCATTACAGCTCACAGCAACCTCCAACTCCTGGGCTCAAGCGAGTCTCCTGCCTCCGCCTCCCAAGCAGCTGGGACCACAGGCGCCCGCCACAACGCCTGGCTATTTTTTGGTTGCAGCCATCATTGTTGTTTGGCGGGTCCGGGCCGGGGATTCGAACCCGCCACCTTAGGTGTACGTGGCTGGCGCCTTAGCAGGTTGAGCTATAGGCGCCGAGCCGATGAGGACTGTTTTGCATGGAAAATGAATGAATGAGAAACAACATAGAATTCCATTACTGGGATTTTACCAAAAAATAGGATAGTTCCTTCCGGAATAGTCAAGATGCAGTGTTAATTACAAGGAAGGGAATGTGCAAGATGACTTTCCAAGATCTGTTCTAGTCCACAAACCAAGACTCAAGTCAATAGAAGAGTTGAGAATTGAAATCACTTGAGTATTTCTGTCTAGAAATAGCTAGAAGCGGGCACATTTGTGATGCCTTAGGAGAGAAAATGAAGTATGAGAATAAAAGGAATTTAGCTAACTTCAAAAACACAAGCATACCTTAAAAGAACACATGGATATTCACATGAACTAAACTCATGTGGTTCGCTTAAGCTTCACAAGGATTAGAACCAGAAATTAGCTACCAGTAACCCAGGATTCCATTTCCGCTTCTCATCTCGTCTCTTCCATCCTCTTCTCTCCTCTCCTCTCCTCATTCTCTTGTTTCCTCTCTCTTTCATTCATTTCTCACTTCTCTCTCGGTCTCCTCTGCCTATCTCTGCAGGTCTTTCTTTAACCCATTCTTTCCTGCTTCTTTTCACACATTACTTACCATAGCTCTCAAATTTATATCTCTTCAATGAACACAAGAGAATTTCAGATTTTATTAGAGCCATTTCCAGAATCCCGTGATGAAGACTCGGATTGGTCAGACGTGTTTCATCCTGGCATCCACTTGAGCACTAAACCGTGCAGGGTGACCACGTGAATATGGCTCCACGGGCCCACATTCATAAGTGAGTCAATTCTCTGAGAAGTGGTGCTGTGCGTTAGAGAACACCCCTATGTTGTGTGCTGCCCCAATAGTTAACCAAACCTGACAATCCACGGATTTTAAAGAAATTGTGCCTCACTGATGCAAAGCCAGAAAACCTCGATACCGGACTTTTAGGTTCTCGGTGATTTGAAGAATAAATCTGTGGACCACAGATCAGTGGTAAGACAGAATTTATTTACAGAAAAGAATGCAAAAACACTGAAGTTCCCAGTAGGGAGAGAAAACCCAAGTTGAGAGAGAAAAGCTCTCTCTGTTTTCCTCTCTCCATCTCTCTCTCTCTCTCCGTCTCACGGTATATATAGGTGCGTGGGTTCTTTCTACATGAGGCCAGGAAATGAATGAACCAGTCCCTTCCACTGGGGCAAAGTGAATGAATGTACTACTGTAAGGACACAGTCCATTCACCAATTTGAGGCCTAGGAAACTTACATGAAATTGACCTAGGCATAGGAAATGGGGGTTCCGTATTTAGTCATAGGCTTAAAGGGAAGCAGACACCAAGGTGCGGGTATCTCCCCAGCAGTTGTCTGGTCCCTGTGGCTACTGGAGCCTCCGGTGGGAGAGGGAGGCTCCCCCTCCTTGCCTAAGCTCCCGCCCACTGGTTCCTCTGCCGGCTGCCGCCGCACCAACACCCACTGCCAAGGCGAAGGCGGCAGGTCCTCCAGCCCGCCCGGCTGAGCTGTCTGGGGGCCACCTGTCCTGTATCAACCTCACATTCACTAGACTTGTATTGTGCACACACTTAACTAAAGCACCAATTTTAGAACCTAATTCTTAAAATAAGACTCCCGGTTAATCTGTCCATCACAGACAAATTCATTGACACATATTAAGGCATAAAGGTTTAATTTAAAAAAAAAAAAGTCCATATAGAGGAACTCTGGTTTTTGTAAAAGCAGAATAGTCCAAATGTCCACATAGCTATACACAGACTTGCATTCAGTTTCTGCTGAATTTAGCTCATGATTCTTGAACCTTAGTGTGCCTATGAATTATCTCATGAAGTTCTATCCACAAAAGCATGGATACTGTCTCTATGAGGGATTGAAAGATCTTTGAAAGATAATTTTAACTCTAAACTCTATTAGTTTATTTAATTCTCCCAAGAATTTTGTGGGATAGGTACTATTATTTCCCCAATGTCCATCTAGGGAACTAAAAGCGAAGAGGGGTTAACTTGCCCAAGATAATAACGTGATGGAGCTAGAAT